TGCATGATTTATTTTTATATCAATCTTTTTAAAAAGTAAACATAAGTAGTTTCATGGTAAAATGAAAATGATCAAATGCTTCTTTGGAAATACAAGGTTATGAAAGAAAAATATTATGCAATGATTATTCATTTTTGATGTGATGCTTGCAGATAGATGTGGAAATTGAATCTTGCAGTTAAATAAATAATCATTTTGATTTGTGGTAGGTACTAATGAGAGCTATAGTTTCTAACCAGATAAATAAAGTGTTATATGTTATCACATAAGAAGAAGTGTGTCTAAAGAAGCTAAGTAGAGTTGGGTACTCATTCATTAATTAATTCAGGTACTTAATAACTAGTATGTGGTAGATAGAATGTGAGTAAGGCATGGTCCCCATCTCAGGGCTATTGCTAGTTTATATGATGCCTCTGTGCATATTAGAAAAAGGTATGCCCTCTGGACACACAGAGCTCCCAGGGCTCACAGTTTGGTAAGGGGACAGTGCCTGTGAGTGAAGCAACAGATTCTTTGACCTTGATCAGACACAGCCACCCTGCAGAGTGCATGGCTTGGTGGGTGGAGATCGGCCTTGATTTTAGCACTTCTTACCCTTTGTAGATATGCTTGTGCAGATAACAGCCTACTAAACTATGCCATGGTACTGGTCTAAAACACACTGTCCAGTAGAAACACATAATTTTGCATTTTGTAGGAGCAACATTAAAAAGTAAAAACAAACAAGTGAAATTAATTTTAATAATATATTTTATGTAACCCAATATGTCAAAAATTTATTTCAATATTTAATCAATATAAAAAATAAATAGTATATTTTACATTCTATTTTCATATAATTGCAAGATCTCAAGTGCTCAATTGCCATGTGTCTATTGGCTGCTGTATTAGCATAGATCTAAAGTGGAAGAAAGAACAGTAATACAAAGTAGAATAATAGTAAGTGCCATAAAAGGTATTTGGCAGAGGGAAATTGGGAGAAAGAGGTCACTCAAGATATGGTAATCAGAGAAATATAGGGGATGTACTATTGTGATAAGGGGTTGGGAAAAATTAAGTTTGAGAACCAAGAGTGTTCTACACAGAAACTTTTTGAGCAGTGATGTGATTGGGCATGTTCAGAAGAGATCAGTGGTCCCATTTGATTAGATAGTAAGGTCTTGAAGTTGTGAAATGAGTAATAGAGTTAGAAGTGATTGGAACTAAGTAAGAAATGTCTGGCTCTAGTTTGTGTTTACATGTTTACTACACTTACTAAAATTTTGTGTCACGTGTGGCAGCAGGAAATTTTGAGTGTTTGAGTGGTGTTGTTGCTGATAGTTGCTGTTGTAACTGAAAATTATTGGTGGTTCAGATGAGCCAGACCTGTGAATCCAGGATCCAAGGAAGGTAGGCATCAGGAAAAGGCAGAGATCACATTGGGAAGGTAGGCAGTATCAGACAGTGGACAGGATTCTAGATAGCAGGGACTGGGGCATCAGAGGTAGGATCCCATTCCGTTTGTAGTGGAACAAGGCAGCAAACCTCATGTGGTATAGGAAGAAGGGAAAGAAATCTGATTACTGAAATTAGAGAATAAAATTGGACTGGGACCAACAGCAAAGTAGTTTTGATGCTGAGTTTGTTAGTCCAGCATCTTTTAAATTCCACTTGCTTTAGTGCACTGGATTAATATAACATAGCCATATAGTCCTTTGGATTGATTCTACATAATCCTTTTACATATTTTTCTCATTTAATTTTCTCAATAACCTTGGGAAATGAGGATATATCAAAAAACAAGGTGTCCTTACATAAGGACACACAGACCTAGGACTGCACTCATATCTTCTGAATCTTTCTACCCCACCATGTTGCTTGCAGTAATTTATGTTGGTTCTACCCAGATTTCAGGTATCTGTCCTCTTCACTTAACTAGAAGTTTCAGTGAAGGCATTGATTACTTCTCTTTTGCCAATGATGTGTATTGATCACCTAGCACATAGCAGGCACTTAAGTATTGGGTAAATGTATAGATCTACTTGCATAATCTGAGTATATGTTAAGATTTCCATTAAATAACTTCGTTAAGCATGAATTTTACAGAATTTATATTTTCCTTTACTCTGTTTAATAGAAATTATATTTTTACTGGGTTTGATGTCATAAGAATTTGGATTCAATATAATTCAGTGTGTACATTTTCTTAATTTCTCCCCTCTTTAACATTTTACAGTAGCTCCACACATAATGGCAAGAGACAGTGACGGTTATGAAAACTCAATGGACAGTAAAATGTTTGACAAAGATGCTCCGGAGGAAGATTCAGAAAGTGTTAGTGAAATAGGAAGTGATGAGGAATCTGAAAATGAAATTACAGGTGTTGGCAAAGCTTCAGTTGATGATAATGGAAATGAAGATGATGAAGATGAGGAGGAGGATGAAGATGAGGATAGTGAGGAGGATGATGAAAGTGACAGTGGCCCTGATCTTGCAAGGGGTAAAGGAAATATAGAAACTAGTTCTGAAGATGAAGACGATATGGCAGATTTGTTTCCAGAAGAATCTGGTTTTGAGCATGCTTGGAGAGAATTAGATAAAGATGCTCCCCGGGCTGATGAGGTAACCTTTTGAATAAATAAGATTATTTGTGAAGAACGCAATCCAAGTAGCTTTTATGAGTGGTAAAATTGATGGCATTAAATTAAGTGGGAAAAACCATACTGGCAATAATCTTGATGAGTTTGATTAAAACTTCCCGATATGGAATATGTTTATGTAAGTTAGAAGATGTCTATCCCAGCAAATAAGAAATTCTACATAAATAATTAAAAGTCATATGCAATTTTTAGAAAATACTTGGTTTAGGTAGTAGAACTAAGAAGTAAGAGAAAGTACTTATCTGTTATATTTTTACTACTGGAACTCATTTAAAGTTCTCTTTTACGTATTGAAAACACTTAGATGGCTACTATACTGATAATTTCAGGGCTTGGGGGAAAGGCATTATGTTTTTAGAAACTTTATTTTTCAAGTATTGAGAATCATACAGATTGTATAATATTTAATTGTTCTTATTTCTCAGATTACACGTCGATTAGCAGTTTGTAACATGGACTGGGATAGGTTAAAGGCAAAAGATTTGCTGGCTCTGTTCAATTCATTTAAACCCAAAG